GAAGTTCCCATTCAATTTGCCAACTCACAATGAAAATGAGATGCACAGTTATTGCAGGCTATTTTTTTTTATAGAGGCATGTGTATGCTCAAAGGTGATTGGTTAAGGATATGTCTATACAAGAGAAGACTGAGAATTCCCAAGTTCTCACATGTACTAAAAATAATATTATTGATGTGATGAAGCTGCATGGAAGGAATTCTGGCTTGTGTTTAGTCGGACCATGGATTTACCATTCTTCGACTGAATGTGCGCATGACCCAGAAAAAGCAGTCGTATCGTCACAAATCCAGTGTAATATTCTTGCTAAAATACTGACTCAGCTGGCTGACTGGGTCGCGTGGGTGAACATACAAATCATTGACATAATCCATACGTGGGTCGAGTACCTACTACAAGTCATAATAATATGGAAGCTAATTATGTTTTGGAATCTTTATACACATTTGTGGCTGCATGGGAAGGCTTTAGTAACCAGACTATGATTGGCCACAAGATCTGGCACACAAACAATGAAAAACCCGGCAAAGGAACACGAAATAGATACACCCAACAATGCACAGACCAATTATTCTACAGCTACATTCTATGCAATCCAGCTATAAATAATTCTCCCCCATGATAACCTGTTATGAATATAATGTATTGTATATTTGTCCTCCGCTTGAAATCTTTGCCCAGATGTTTTACTATACAAAAGACATTGATGTTGGTGGTGGGGAAGAAGTCCAGGTTGATTATCACTAGCTAAACCACAAGCAAAAAAATCCGTTTGTGGTAACCAAAGCTCTATTTTTCACAACCAAGACTCAGATGGTAGTAACAAAACAGTCTTGTGGTCCCTGAAAAAATGGATAGCTATCAACACCCTCCATGCCAAAGTTTTTGCAGGAAGTAAGAGTGCAGAAGTATAATTATAGCAAGAACTGCCCATGAGTTTTCTGGCAAAGTGAGTTCAACAAACAAAGACACACTGCATTGGAAATGTTTTACAAGATCTAGATTCCCTCAAGGAATTCATGTGGGATTTTATTCCCCACAGAGCTGGCCATAATTACACATTGTGAACACTGGCTTTAGCCCCTAAAATTCTATACGTCACAGCAATTAGTCCTCTTAGAGTGAGCTAAGGTAATGCGCATATGCCTTGTCTTTGGTTGTGATGTAGGTTCTGTACCAGAGTGTGGTCCATTGTAAAAAGCCCCGTAAAGATTTGATAAATATGTACAAACCAGTTCCAGTAAAGCACAAGATGGTTTTATTGGCAGGTAGCTACACTTCTTTCAGTGATCACAAAAATTCAATTCTGTCTTGACCACTTGGCTTTTCTAGTATATACACACACACTATGGCTGAGGTCCTTACACTCTGGCAGATAGTGATATAATCTGTGTATGAGTGTCTCATAGATTGTGGTCCGGGTACTTTCATACAATGCTGTGGTTGATGAGAGTGAACTGCTGGCATATTTGGCGAATAAAGTAAGAACCTACATAGTCGTCGAATCAATGGCGCATCTAGGATTTTAAAGGGGGGCAGAACATTTTCGACTGCGCTCATGTGTGCACACGAGGCCGGCGACGCATGCATGCAAAACAACAAAAATGGGGGTTCCGTGGAACCCAAGGAACCCCCCTGGATCCGCCACTGCAAATTATAATGTGACATTGCATACTACGCACAAATATGAGCTCCTTACACTCGGTTGCAAAAAGGTGTGGCATTCGTTATAGTATTAATGACACACTGTGCCCTACAAGCTACCCTGTCATGCTAGCTGCAGCATTTAACACACCCCTAACAAAGTTAGATACAACTGAAGACAATGCCTTACAATGACAAACAGGCAGAGAGGAAACCAAATGATACGAACATGAGTTTAAATCTATCTGACGCAGTAACCAAAATTATCGTAATCTTATACTTACGGAATCGAAAAACCGCTCAAATTTCGAAGTCACGTTCGCTTGCCAAATACGCATCGCACTCGGTTTTATCATTCAAATACAACGATTATCTTGCTTTGTAGAGATATTTGCTGATGATTTGTCGTTTTTTATCTGAATGATGTAGTTCATTTTCTAGTGGCACTGATGTTGCTGTCTTCTACTGACATGGACACCTCTCTCAGGACACCCCAACAAGTCCACCTCAGCTCCTCCACATAGTCACTGAGATTAGATATCTCCAGACAATCCTTGACACGAAAGTCAAGACCAGAAAACGATTGGAAAACTTTAGTGTCTGAAGCAGTGAACGACTGAATGGACAGTAACTTCTTTCCTTTAGTTTTCCTCCTGGAAAAGAGCTCTGTGAAATTGACTTCCGGTACATCAAAGTAGTATCCAAATCGTCTGTCCCAGAAGAGGAGATTCTGAGGCTGAGTCATGTCTGATGATGAGAATGATCTCCTGAGATTATGAGACATGCCACTAGCAACGGCCCCCACATTGAACTGTTGAAGAGGTCCAAGTCCTGTCCACTGGCAATATTCACAATGTCTACCTGCTGATAGAGGGAGGAACAGTCCAGTCTGGATCTTTACCTCTTTCAGGGTGGTATTGTGTTTCAAAATTGTATTAAGTTGTAGAAGGAAGTCGGTGCAGGTTGTTTTACTTGGTAGAGGAATGTGTCTCGCTGATGACAGGGATGTAAAATCAATATTGCCATATTTCCTTCTCCCTCTTTTGGGCGGTAAATGCAAATCGTCATGAATCACAAGATGTCTTAGGGCTGTGTTTTTTATCAGAGCGCTGCATATGTAAATAATTCCATCGTAGCCAAGTTTACCCATCTTAATTTCCAATGTGGCAAGACTGGAACAACGTAGTAAGATGCTGTATACACCAGCCATGGTCTCACGAGATATATCGTGCAGCTTCATTTCAGTAAATTCATTTGATCTTTGGACTGATTTTAAGAGTGAATCGATACCTAAATGTATTGAGTAGGAGACTTCATACCTAATGGTAGTAGAAGGAAATTCAACATCAAGAACGGCCTCTGTCCAATTAGGGACTGCTTGCCTGTGGAAATACGGAGCATACTTTTGTGTTGGGCGACTTTTTTTGTTAGTAATGTGAAATCCTTTAAGCTCATGATTACCAAGGGACTTCAACGCTGGAAGCCACTCCCAAGATCCAATACTGATATAAATGAATTTCAATTTTCGAAGGTTTCGTAGCAAATGCTGAACAACGTCACTACCTATAGTGGAGTGACACTCAAATTTCATAGTCTCAAGTTCGTCCAACAATTGCTTTCAATAGCCAAGACACTACTGTAGTGGAAATCGGTGTGATTCAATTTCCAGCTCAACATTGAGCTCTCTAACTCTTGGCCTCGCATATTTGCAGTGGTCTTCAAGACCTTTTACAAATGTTTCCACGAGTGAAATATCATTATCTCTTTTAACACCCAGTGACAGATTGAATATGTCAGAGGAATGTGCTAGGCAGTAGGACAGGGCATAGCAATCATATGGTGCCTGAATGGACTGCGAAGACGAGGAAAAGTGGCCAATGGAGACATCCCTCCTGCAACCACTCCTCGTTTCAGCTAAAAAATGTGTGATAGGATAGCTGGGTTTTGAGCCTCGTAAAGAGACCGTAAAAGGACACTGGGATCTTTGATATTAGCAGTATCATTACTGAATACAGTTTCCCAGTGGTTTTTATCATCTTCTGATTGACCTTTCCAGCCAGTAATGCCAGCTAAGAATATGGCTGGTTCAACCAGAGATGATCTTTGTTGCCATAAAGATGATATAAGGGCTTTTTCGTCTCTGCTTTTACCTCTATACATTAAATCACCATCAACGGCCAGTTTATGATAAGCGACCTGAAATTCAAAGCTGTAGGTACTAGTAAGGTGCCAAGTTGCCAGGTATTCCTGCAGGCTCAGATGCACAAATGAGAACGCTCGCTCTACCCCTTTCCCAGCATACATTTCAGTGGATTCATTCATAAAACCAAAATGAACCAATCCCTCGGGAATGTCCTCTTTGAAAAACGTTCCCTTTCTTGTTTCACACGTTTCGTAAAATAAATCTGAATTTCCTTCGTGATATGTGTCGAAAGCAAACTTAGCAAAAGCCTTGAACTTTTTCATCTCGTGGTCATTCAGACTTTCTGGAAGCGTGCTTGTAAACTCACGATCATCTTCCTTCATCTTCATGTGTCGAACAAGGACTGAATGAACGAGTGCCCTGTATAGCTGCGTTCTCGTTCTCGGTAAAGCAAGGTGGCGGCTACTCTGAGACTCGTAATAGACTTGTGCTATAATGGCGCAGTTAAGTGGAATGTACATCATTGACTTGACATGAGGGACAAGAAACATGTATTTTAAGAAATTCACTTCAAGCCCTGGTTTCTCACTGAAAACCTCAGTGATATACCTCACTCTTTCTTCCTCTGTGAACCCTACAATTTCTATATGTTATCAATTTGGGGCTGGCAGATACTTTAAGGGTGTGTTTAGCTGATGATCTTGTTGTGACAATGATGGTGCATTCTGGCAAAAGTTGCCGGCATAAATACTTTTTTACGACAGAATTGTCGTCTAAACTGAGAGAAATCTCGTCAAGACCCATCTAAACCATAAAAAAATTTTTCCCTTGGTATTATGCATTTCTAGCGCAATATTTTTGTTTAATTCAGGCTGAAACGGACATCTGAATAGATCTGAAAGTGACACTGCATTTAAGACCCACTTTTCCTTCAACTTAAGTGCCCGAAATGACTAAGGAATTTGGGTCTGTGCTAAGATCCCGCCCTATGTATAATAGCTAGCCTCGATCCCAGCCTTCTCCCTCCTCATTGCAAATCTACAAAATTGTGGGGGGGAGGGACACAGCCAGGGATAGAGGCTACCATTGGCCTGCGGGGACAAGGGTGCTCCATCTGGCATGCTAAAAACGTGTGCTTGTCCCCACTGGCTATGCAACTCTGAGGTAATAGTAGCCTCAATCCCCACGCCTTCACCATCCTTCCCCACAAATCCATTTTTAGCAATAAAAATACAAGCAGAAAACTATTCACCATGCAAATTATCTTCAATCTCTTGTGCCAATACATTAAGCTCTATCTCTCTCAGTACAGTAATGAGAGTGGCCCAGGATTGTGGTGTCCTCCCAGTTCCCTCCAACCATCTCTGGAGAATGGCTTCTGTGATTCTATTCTGATCTGGTCTGTACTGAGCCTCAATAGCGTCATTCACTGCTCCAGTATCATCCTTAAGTATACTAATACCCAGTTCACGATGTTTTATTCCAATTCGTTCAATAATGTTGATGCAATCATCACCAGATAGATTGGGAAACCTCTGAAGTCGTGGTAGAGTTGGAGTGGCAGACCGTTTTTGTTGGGAGTCATACTGATTTGGTTGTGGCTCATTCGGAGGCTGTTGGCCTTGTGGAGGTGGGTGATATTCGTTTGCAGGCTGTTCCTGTAGTTGGTGTAGGGAAAGCTGAGGTCGGTCCTGTGGTTGCTCTGGAGGCTTGCAAGATAGTGGAATAGACTTTACATTTCCTCCTTCAACGCGGATATAAACCTTCTTTTCTTTTGGCTGCTCATCATCTTTGATCCATTCCGGCTCAAGTTCGATCTTTGGGATAACACACCCTCTTTCATATTTCAATATGCTATGGATGTTAAGTTTTGAAGGATATGGTTCCATCTTTATTCTCCATCCCTCCTGGTTTGGTGGCTCTGCTTCAGAGAAGGTGATATCTGTTGTAAGCCCACGTGAATGGCAAGGGTGGAAACTAATCCTAAAAAATTAAAAATAGTTCCCAAAACGCTGAATCGTGAAATTTCTATCTCACCGTACGTGTCTCCAAGTGGAAATTTTCCTTTGTGTAATAGCTTGAACCGGTATGGAGATGTGCAGTGGGCTACGATGTGAACTAACGAACCTTCTTTATCGACAACGGCGCAATGTTGCATCCTTACTTTAACTGGAGCAGAAAGCTTAGCACTTGCTGTGATCTTGTACACTGCACTAGCAAAAGGCATGAGTCGATAGCCATCGGGCATGATGCAGTTGTCTTCAACATTTGTTAGGACTTTCACCGAAATCTTGATTTCTTCTTCACAAGCAGCAGCTGGGAAATGCAGGTTTATGCCGGCATCTTCCCAGAAAAAGGCCATTTTTCTCCCCGTGTACACAAATGACTGCTTATTGAGGAGTGGAGCACCTGATACTATTATATTATCTCCTTCTCTGCAATGCAATGAAAAACAGAATTAGAATGTAGCCCGTAGCATGTAGAAAAAACCATGTGATGCCAAGCATGTACATGAATGTCACTACTGCAGCAATTTACTACATTGCCTCGCCCCTGAGTGCAAGATATTTAACACACTGTGATCGTGTCCAATCGCAATGTGGAGGTGTACATATGTAGCTACAATAGTCCACACATACAAAAGCTCGTTTGGTGTCCATGTTCGCGTGTCAATGTTGCCAGCCCTGTAGTACTCCGACGTTGGACTTCAAAGTCCAACAATATGGCAGTACTAGTTATTAGTGGCAGCGTTTCAGCACTATCATTAGTGATATTCAGCATTTTTTCAATTATGAATGTGAACATGCTGCCTTGTCCGTTAAGCAATATTATGTTAATGGTGTTCTAATAATACTTAATAGCCAGCAGCCCCCTTTTCTTCATCTGAAGAAAGGGGTTGTGGTTGTTGTACAAGGTCATCCCGCACCAATGAAATTACCCTGTATGAAAAGGGGAGCTATGTACGACCTAGCTTTAACTTGATTACCCTTGGAATACCAACTAATGAGCTTGGAGGGGATAATTCGGGCCACAAAATTAGCTGTTGAAGTGGACCTTGTACTATCACATCCTTTACGGATAGAGAGTCTACGAGGGGTTGAGGAGGGTGGGAAATTAGACTGCTCCTTGTCTGGCTTTGCTGCGTCCTGGCGCTCAAAATGGCGACTGCTTTTGTAGCAGCACGAGGCTTAATCACCAGACTCCGCATGCGCTGCACGAGTGCCGCATCGGCTGTGCTTGCACCACCAAAATTTCCTTTTAGTGCCGTGCTGATGGGGACCCTGTATACCAACTGTGCGCCAAGCTCCAACATTAACTTTGTAAAACCTCATGTGTAGCAACAAGAGGCTCCTAGACTTGCCGTGCTGGCGCACTGCACTCCAAGCTGTAAGTGACCATGGGGGATATTATCTTGATACAACAAAGCAGAAAACGTACAACGTTTAAAGATAGGCGAAGAGTAGACTGTCCAACAGACTGATACGTGCATCTTTTGATTGATTTAAGTGATGCGATGCTAACAACCGAAACACTCATGCGGAGTGTATATGTTTACTCGTGGTCTCCCGCAAGTATATAACTCATGGAGAGTCTGACACGGGCTATCTACGATAGTAGATAGCATGCAGGAGTCGACACATACCATTCGTTGTGACTTCCTGAGCCCCCAAGGTACACAGAGCGAATGGATCAGATCGCGGTAAGCCCAGTGCGGTTATGCATATTGGCTTTTTCGCTTGTTTTCATGGCATATCTCTCGAACGCAGTCGTTTCAGGAAAATCGCCCTTTTATTTTTCAGGCTCGCGTAGTTCTGAAGCCGCTGGTATCGCTAATAGGCCGCCTCGTAACCTGTAGTGACAGAATAAGCATCGACACACACACACACAGCACACAGACAAACTAACTACTGTAACCCTCGCTGCGCATGCACGCCCAAGGTTAATTGTATTATCAACTACATCATACCCTATCTTGCGCCATTGATAGGGTAACATGTATATAGCTACCACAGGCCATTTGATACCGGTAGAGTTTAAGCCCCAACTGTCATTATACAAGGATGGATAATGCTCTACATTTTATGTAAGTGGATTAGTGTTGTTGTTAAGTGCATGTGTATGTACAGTACATACTTTTGCACGTGGGCTAGATTGCTAAGGTCCTATTTTGCTAGTTCCGTGCCCACACACCACCCTCTGAAGAGGAAAAGGTCTGGTGACAGTTGAGCGATTGCTGATTTAGCAGCCTCAGTTGTCGGTAAGCAAAATAGATCTCTGAAGCTCATGTATAGCATGTGACCACGTAGAATGAAGCTCCCTGCACGCCGTGTATCCAAACTAACTCGCGTGTGCTATATATGTAATTATCACAAGGCTGCTGATTCAGCACAACCAACCCAAAATGTCACCACACCATTTTACTGTTTAGAAGGTGGGGGTACGTCTGGGTAAAATTTTTGCATTTTCTTGGTTGTGCTGAATCGGCAGCCTTGTGATTATTACATAACAATACGCACGTTTTATTGGATTCTCTCACAATACGCGGCAACCAGAGCTTTTGTGGTCACACATTTACGTGATGTTCAGTGCTTTGATTGGCGCTGTGAGGGTTTACTGTACTTAGTCTGTGTGTGTCTACCGCTATTGTGGCACTAAAGGTCACGAGGTAGCTTATGAGCAATTTATATCAGTGGCTTCAGAACAAAAAGAAAGTGGCAACTTTCCCGAAACTACTGCATTGGAGAGATATTGCATGAACAACTAATATGAATTGGCTTATAATACTTCCACCATGGATAATAATATACGAAACTTCACTATTTTGTCTATCTATGCCTCCACAAGGTATAGCCTGCTGAATGCACTGTGGAAGGATGAAGTCATGCAAAGGATCTGTATGAAGTTCAGCATGGCTCTAAATGCTACCCACTGATGCAGTCAGCCTGTGTTAGAGCAAAAAACTGGCTCCATGAATGGGTTATACCATGTGGCGTGACAGGACCATCATTAGCGGCACTTTATGCACCTGCCAATAATTGACGCTTTAACAATTTGCGGCTTCTTGCACCAAGTTTATTGCACTTTAATATTCAAAACAACCAAAAAGGTTAGTAACCAGAACCCTAAACAACCTCCCCAGATCATGATTAGGGAGAAATAGGAAAATGAAAAGCACTCAAGTGCAAACACTCGGCGCATTGTGACGCGCACGCATGAGTAAACGCATGCGCTGTATCACTAATGGCTGGGCTGGGTTTTGTTACTTGTGGTCTCTTGCCAGCTCGCGCAGCGTCTGACGCGGGCTAACTACACTACTAGATAGCATGCGAGAGGCGATACACGCCCTGCGTTGCATCTTCTGGTGCGTCCGAGGTATTACGCAGAGCACGCGGATCGATCAGACCGCGGTAAGCCATCCTGTCCGTTGCGGATTTGCATATTGCCTTTTTCGCACTCTAGCTTTGCAACGGAGCATTTTCAGAGAAAACCGCACATATTGCCCGTTGGGTAGGTCGTATGGTTTGTGAGACGAACAAAACACTCGAGAAGTGAGATGTAGACTAACAGACACACAGACACACAGACCCAAGTGCAAACCCTCGGCTAGGGCATTACCCGCATGCATGCATAAGATAGATCAGCTACGCAGGTTGGGAGTCTGACATTCGCTCGTTGAGGGTCGGTAATGCTTTTTTAGCTGCTCTCAAGCTTGCCATGTGCTTTCTATTCTGCTGTTGTCTTTGCAAAGTTTGCTCGCTAGTTTCACTTGCTCTTTTAGTGGCCTTTTGCAACTTACTTTTAGCCTTCATAGCTGATTTTGACACTATCTGACTGTAAGACTCGCATGTGTTTCATGGCTTTCTCTGGCAAATTATGCTCTGCTTTTCTCTTCGCTGGAAAGACATGTTCGCAAGATTTACACACTTTCAGCCTTATATGTACAATAGTTTGACACTGTGGGCATACCTTCCTCGGAGGCAAGATAATAAAATAGCAACTCACACGACTGGAGAACGCAAAGAACGTCTTCTCACCGAACGAAAAACATAATGGCTGCTTTCCACCACGTGGTTGAATATAATGCGCATGCGCATTTTCCGCAGCAATAAAAATGGCCGACTACGCATTAGCCGTACATTGCTGGAAGCGCTCTAGCTTTGCAACGGAGCATTTTCAGAGAAAACCCCACATATTTTCTGATCTTCGTTGCCCGTTAAGCAGGTCGTATCCTTTGTGAGACGAACAGACGTGCGAGGAGTGAGATGTCGAGTAATCGCACACACAGACCCAACTACAGTAACCCTCGCTGCGCATGCACGCCGAGGGTTAATGAAAAGCACTAAAGTGCAAACCCTTGGCGAACTGCGCATGTGCGGTACCCCAAAAATTGATGGGCTGGGCTATTAGTATAGTTTGCGTTTAATCGTGGTCTCCCGTGAGTAGCTTGAAGAGTGTCTGACACGGGCTAGCTACAGTAGTAGATAGCAAGCGAGAGTCGATACACGCCATTTGTTGTGACTTCTTGTGCCTTCAAGATAGACAGAGCAAGCGGACCCCGAGCACTAAAGTGCAAACCCTCGGCGAAGTAGCTCGCAGAGAGTCTGACACGGGCTAGCTACAGTAGTAGATAACACGCGAGAGTCGATACACGCCATTCGTTGTGACTTCTTGTGCCTTCAAGATAGACAGAGCAAGCGGACCCCGTCGAGGTAAGCCTGTGCTAAATATAAGCGCATGCGAATTATCCGCCAGCGATAAAATGGCGACTACCGGCATTAGCCATACAATGGCGGAAGCGCTCTAGCTTTGCAACGAAGCATTTTCAGAGAAAACCGTCCGAAATTTCTGACCTTCATTGCCTGTTAAGTAGGTCGTATCGTTTGTGAGAAAAACAGACATTCGAGAAGTGAGATTGAGAGTAACAGACACACACACACACACACACACACCCAACTACAGTACCCTCGTTGCGCATGCACGCCGAGGGTAATGAAAAGCACTGAAGTGCAAACCCTCGGCGCACAGTGACGCGCACGCGTAAGTAAACGCATGCGCAGTACCACTAATTGATGGGCTGGGTTTAGGTTTAGCTGTTACTCGTGGTCTGTTGCCAGCTCGCGCAGAGTCTGACGCGGGCTAACTACACTACTAGATAGCATGCGAGAGGCGATACACGCCCTGCGTTGCATCTTCTGGTGCCTCCGAGGTACGCAGAGCACGCGGATCGATCAAGCCATCCCGTCCGTTGTGTATTTGCATATTGGCTTTTTTGCGCTGTAGCTCTGCAACGGAGCATTTTCAGAGAAAACCCCACATATTTTCTGATCTTCGTTGCCCGTTAAGCGGGTTGTATCCTTTGTGAGACGAACAGACACTCGAGAAGTGAGATTGAGAGTAACAGACAGACAGACAAACCCAACTACAGTAACCCTCGCTGCGCATGCGTAAGTAAACGCATGCGCTGTAGGCTACCACTAATTGATGGGCTGGGTTTAGTTTTAGCTGTTGCTCGTGGTCTCTTGCAGGCTCGCGCAGAGTCTGACGCGGGCTACTAGATAGCATACGAGAGGCGATACACGCCCTGTGTTGCATCTTCTGGTGCCTCCGAGGTACGCAGAGCACGCGGATCGACCAGACCGCGGTAAGCCATCCCGTCTGTTGCGTATTTGCATATTGGCTTTTTCGCGCTCTAGCTTTGCAACGGAGCATTTTCAGAGAAAATCGCCTTTATTTTCTGACTTTCGTCGCCCGTTGGGTAGATGGTATCGTTTCTAGGACGAACAGACGTTCTAGGAGTGAGATATAGAGTAACAGGCAGACAAACAGACAGACTGACAGACCCAATGAAAAGCGCTGAAGTGCAAACCCTAGGCGCACTGTGACGCGCACGCGTAAGTAAACACATGCGCCGTACCACTAATTGATGGGCTGGGTTTAGTTTTAGCTCTTACTCGTGGTCTCTTGCCAGCTCGCGCAGAGTCTGACGCGGGCTAACTACATAGCATGCCAGAGGCGATACAAGCCCTGCGTTGCACCTTCTGGTGCCTCCGACCAGACCATGGTAAGCCATCCCGTGTATTTGCATATTGGCTTTTTCGCGCTCTAGCTTTGCAACGGAGCATTTTCAGAGAAAATCGCACATATTTTCTGACCTTCGTTGCCCGTCGAGTAGGTCGTATCGTTTGTGAGACGAACAAACACCGAGAAGTGAGATTGAGAGTAACAGACAGACAGACAGACAGACAAACCCAATGAAAAGCACTAAAGTGCAAACCCTCGGCGAAGTAGCTCGCAGAGAGTCTGACACGGGCTAGCTACAGTAGTAGATAGCACGCGAGAGTCAATACACGCCATTCGTAATGACTTCTTGTGCCTTCAAGATAGACAGAGCAAGCGGACCCCGTCGAGGTAGCCTGTGCTAAATATAAGCGCATGCGCATTATCCGCCAGCGATAAAATGGCGACTACCGGCATTAGCCATACAATGGTGGAAGCGCTCTAGCTTTGCAACGGAGCATTTTCAGAGAAAACCGCCTTTATTTTCTGACCTTCGTCGCCCGTTGGGTAGATGGTATCGTTTGTGGGATGAACAGACATTCGAGAGGTGAGATGTAGAGTAACAGACACACAGACAAACCCAACTACAGTAACCCTCGCTGCGCATGCGCGCCGAGGGTTAATGAAAAGCACTGAAGTGCAAACCCTCGGCGAACTGTGACGCACACGCGTAAGTAAACGCATGCGCCGTACCACTAATTGATGGGCTGGGTTTAGTTTTAGCTGTTACTCGTGGTCTCTTGCCAGCTCGCGCAGAGTCTGACGCGGGCTAACTATACTACTAGATAGCATGCGAGAGGCGATACACGCCTTGCGTTGCATCTTCTGGTGCCTCCAAGGTACGCATAGCACGCGGATCGATCATGCCGTAGTAAGCCGTCCCGTCCGTTGTGTATTCGCATATTGGCTTTTTCGCGCTCTAGCTTTGCAACGGAGCATTTTCAGAGAAAACCATATAAATATTCTGACCTTCATCGCCCGTTTGGAAGATGGTATCGTTTCTGGGACGAACAGACATTCGAGAGGTGAGATGTAGAGTAACAGACACACACACCCAACTACAGTACCCTCTCTGCGCATGCGCGCAGAGGGTAATGAAAAGCACTGAAGTGCAAACCCTCGGCGCACTGTGACGCGCACGCGTCAGTAAACGCATGCGTCGTACCACTAATTGATGGTTTGGGTTTAGTTTTAACTGTCACTCGTGGTCTTTCCCCAGCTCGCGCAGAGTCTGACGCGGACTAACTACACTGCTAGATAGCATGCGACAGGCGATTCACGCCCTGCGTTACATATTCTGGTGCACGCAGAGCACGCGGATCGATCGGACTGTGGTAAGCCATCCCTGCCGTTGTGTATTTGCATATTGGCTTTTTCGCGCTCTAGCTTTGCAACCGAGCAGTTTCAGAGAAAACCGTTCGAAAATTCTGACCTTCATTGCATGCTAAGTAGGTCGTATCCTTTGTGAGACGAACAAACACCCGAGAAGTGAGATTGAGAGTAACAGACACACAGACACACAGAAAAACCCGACTACAGTAACCCTCGCTGCGCATGCGCGCCGAGGGTTAATGAAAAGCACTGAAGTGCAAACCCTCGGCGCATTGTGACGCGCACGCGTAAGTAACGCATGCGCTGTACCACTAATTTATGGGCTGGGTTTAGTTTTAGCTCTTACTCGTGGTCTCTTGCGAGCTCGCGCAGAGTCTGACGCGGGCTAACTACACTACTAGATAGCATGCGAGAGGCGATACACGCCCTGCGTTGCATCTTCTGGTGGCTCTGAGGTACACAGAGCACGCGGATCGATCAGACCTTCGCGAGCTATTTCGTCCGTTGTGTATTTGCATATTGGCTTTTTCGCGCTGTAGCTCTGCAACGGAGCAGTTTCAGAGAAAACCCCACATATTTTCTAACCTTCGTCGCCCGTTGGGTAGGTAGTATCGATTGTGAGAAGAACAGACATTCGAGAAGTGAGATGTTGAGTAACGGACAGACAGACCAAACTACAGTAACCCTCGCTGCGCATGCGCGCCGAGGTAACTACAGTAACCCTCGCTGCGTATGCGCGCCGAGGGTTAACTACAGTACCCTCGCTGCGCATGCGCGCCGAGGGTAAACTACTGTAACCCTCGCTGCGCATGCGCGCCGAGGGTTAATAGGCACATAGGGGGAATGAGATACCCTCTAAGACAAACACAAAACATAGAGTTTCTTTATCTTAAATATATGGTTGAGGTTCTTCACTTTACAGCTGCTTCTGGTATGCTCCAGTCTGTAAGCTTACTCCTTTCCCAGCTTGTCAAAATTCTGTGCATATACCCCTAACAAAAAGGCTTATAGGAGAAAAGCAAGCATACCTAATGTCTCAAGGGGGATTATTCTGGGCACAGGTACTGCACATACTGTAGTGCTCTAAGTGATTCAAATTAATACATGTGAAAGATGTACAAGAATCTTAGCTGCAAAAGTGACTTTCATAGTGCAGCTAAAAATAAAGATGATAGCTACTGCATGGACAATACCTGAGTCCTAAGTATGTGAGTAACATTGTTTCTTTGATTGCATAAGCCCTTCTGTTTGCTTTGTTACAAACCAGAAACAACTCCCACACTTATCTCTCCTATCTCTATACACCACAAAAATGTGGCTGTTTCAATGTGGTCTACCGAACTTCATACAACCAAATCCTAGCTTACAATATTTGAAGGGCAGAAAGGGGTGCAGCCTCTTCCAACTCGGTCTCTAGGGGAGAGAGTTTTACCTGCCATAAAAATTCAAAATTAGGAATAGAATGTTTGGACTACAAGCATTATTACAAGTTCTGAAGTGACATGGTTGTCCGAGAGCTCCTGCAGTACGCCTTTCTCATCTAATTTTCTTGCTATAATTCTAGGAGTTTCTCCATTCTGCACAAGACATAATAAGGGGATCAGCTATGCACACACAGTTCTGAATAAACTTACAAAGTTGGAAATATTTGGATTTGCCTTCATTGACAGTAACCTTCTAACAAGTTTAAGATTCCTCTTCCTACATGCCATAATAAGTGTGGTGTCTCCACGCTATAATGTAGAGAGAAGGCAGCTATCTGTGACTGAATGAAACTAAGGCCAGTGAAGACATACACTGTCCTGAATGTCCAACTGGAATGGAAATCGAAGGTCCACGTGGTCCAATAAGGCATTTAAAACTTCTTCACTCTCCTTATCAACAGCTAACAGGAGAGCATTTGTGTAGTTCTGTCGGTGTGTAATTTGGTTACAGCAGCAATATACACAGTACGCATAGCTATCAATAGTCAACCTTGTCTTGAATGTGTGGAGTTGCTCCAGCCTCAATTACTTTCAGGGCAATGTTGTTGTGGTTACTATATACTGCTGCCATCAGAGCTGTCCACCGATCCTAAAAAGTATATATATCATAATCAACATGAGCACACAATGCAGCTGTAGCACGTAAAACCTAGCACATAATTGTCAAAATGGTTCACCAACGACAAGCAACGCTCACATTGTTTTGCATATCAGGGTTGGCTCCTTTCTCCAGCAGAAGTTCAGCAACATCACAGTGGCCGTGAGTGGATGCAATGATTAGTGCAGTTTGACCTTCCTGCATAAAACGACGGTTTACTATTTCTACACAAGAACAAAGTACTGTACTCTCACGTCATTTGCAAGGTTGGGATTAGCTCCTGCGTTCAGCAGTAAACGCGCGATTTCAACAGTGCCAACTTTACTGGCCTGCATCAGTGGACTGAATTCAATCTGTACCGATACAGACACTTTCAATTATCGGCCTTCAACAATAGAGGGGATTACCATTAGAGGAAAAGCATTTGGATCTGCTCTCTTTGAGAGCAGCGATTTCACTTCCTCTTTGTCTCTACTATAAACAGCTTGCATCAAATTCTGTCACGATAAAAGTATAAAGTTCACAGCCTTATGTTTAAAATTCTCCAAACTTACAATCACATCTCCGGAATATTCCGTATTTCCAATTTCATTGATAAATGGCACAGAAAATTTCCCCTACATAAAAAACCATCATGTCTCATACATTTTTATCTGTTCAACTATGCCATAATTATCTTGGATTTTTGTGCACACTAATCCTGGCCCGAAAGCCTTAGAAATATTATATTGATTTACACTTACCTCATGATCAGCCAGAACATGAGGTAAAAGTCCTAAGATCTCTCCCTGCCACTCACATTCACTGGTCTTGTAATGACAGAAAACGCGGAGTGCTTGTACTTGACGCTGAAGGTGTCTATCTAGAACTGTGCTCCAGTTAAATTCCCTGCACATTGGACATGCTTTTCTCTCGCTTCTGATTCTGGTGGCAGCTTCTCGCGAGAGACGTTTACCACAACATTCTGTGCGGTGAGGCTGGAGCAGCAGACCCTTTGTCACGGGGCAGAAGAAGTCATCAGGTGGCCGCTCGACAAAGAGATCACTTTCCTCGGACGATGGCTCAAGTCTACAGGAAAATTTTTACGATCCCGAAGAGAATATCAGTGTGTCTAACTGTTTTGTGGAGTCTTCCCCCGACCCCAATGACTTCTCTCCGGTCTTGGGCGCTGCCTCACCACCTGTCCTCACCGGTGCTGATGGTTTATCCATAGGTCGATCTATCAGTGGTCTCGCAGGCCAATGGCTTGCGACTCGCGACACTCCTTGCTCCTTTCTAGAGGGGGCGTATCTAGGGGCGTATACCACCCCGCGCCTCGCATGATGATGATTTGCTATTATTACTAGTAGACGAATGCATGGAATTTTTTGGGCGAGCGGGAGCGAGCACACAATGACTGTATCTGCACGAGCCATCATAGCAGCGTGTAGAACCGCGTTATCCTGACGCATGCGCAGGTAGCACGTGTGAAAAAAATTGGAAATGATTTCGGATAAAAAGAAGCGCGAAACGAAGCCGCGCATGTTGAACATTGTTGGCGAGCGGGAGCGACCCAACTTGGGATTTGCCCGCGATGTTCGGGCTGCATATCGTGCCGTCAGCGCACAGCTTTTCCTTTCGTGAAGCAAGACAGATCTACATGTCGCTGTTACATGCGTACTGTACATCGGCAGAACGATGACCATTACCTTATTATTATTATTGATTGATGCACACACCAGTAAAGGTGCAGAATAAACAAACAACATAAAAATGAATAGAGAGAAAGTGGAGAACAGCCACGGCCTTCTGGGCTCTATCCCGTCGCCAACCGGGGCTTAAGGATCCTGGACCGACCGCAGAACACTCACCATGGTAAAGACTACAAAGAGGACAAATGAGAAATGATACCTTCACAGGGAGGACCATAAAGATGTCTGAGATGTCTAATAAAAGAAGCTGTAGTGAATTCAGAAGAGTTATAATCAGAAAGATATTGAATGCCACAGATATTATTATACCCAGTGAAAGAATAAACGACTTGGGATGAAACTATATATAAAAACAGAACGAACTAAAGATGAGGACGATGAAACAGCAGTAGACAACAGGGACCAGAAATGACTGTACACTATAGAAGATATTGTATATATCAAACTGAGCAACACAATGAACAATAGCTGAATGAGACTTGCGGGGCAAGTTCCAGAGTTTACGTAATAGTTTATTCAAAGTGACTTCAATAACCCTGATGGAGGACGACAAGAGTGAAAAGAGCAGCCATACAAAGATAGGCAAAAGGACTTAAGCAAATAGCACTTCACAAATGGATCAGCTGCATGAAAGGCACAGAGTAGATAATTGGCCTTACGATTCAGATCTTTGACAACTTGAGAATATCACTACTGTCATTTAAACCAGATGTGAGAATGTGACCAAGATGAGTAACTAGGATGGGTATGACGAAGACGAAAGCAAATAAGCTGAGTCTTTTCAGCATTAAACTTGAGACCATGAGTAGACGCATACGAAGAACACATGTTTAGCAGAGTTCTAAGTGCCGATGCACAAGGAGCCAGCAACACAATGTCATCAGCATAACAAACAGAACCAGCAAACAAGTTGCCCCACTGACAACCAACACCAGAAGCAGCCAATTTCTGAAGCAAACCATCCAAATACACAAAAAAACATGACAGGAGAAAGGACACCACCTTGCCTGACACCATTAGACACTCTAAAAGATTCAGAGAATGACTGTTCCCAGCGCACTTTCATCCTTTGATTACTGTACCAGAAAGACAGAAAATGAGCAACTGGAAGAGGTAAACCACGATCAATGAGTTTTTCGAACAAGAGACTATGATCTACGAGGTCAAAAGCCTTGCTTGCATCAAGAAAACAACCATTAAACTGAAGAACCATTATGAATGTAACGTGAAACAACATTCTTGACAACACCAGAACACAAAGTTGTGGAAAAACCAGGTTTAAAACAAACTGCAGTGGACTAGAATAGAGATAGGCAGAATACTTAGTCATGATGAGATGCTCCAATATTTTACTTAAGCAAGAAGACAAGGCAATAGTTTACACTGCAGGTGGCATCCTTATTATTTTTGGGTACTGGAACAAGAACACAGTCACGAACACACTGAGGCATAAAACCGTGATGAGCAAGTGAGCTGAAGAAGATGGCAAGAGGTGCCATAACAGCTGATGATGCATAAATCAAGTGCTCGGAAAATATCCCATCCCGTCTGATTTGCCACTATTAAGATGAGAGAGAGCATCCAAGACATCATCTTCAGAGAATTCCACATCACTTATATGAGAGGCAGTCACTGAAGATTGGATGGAAGACTGAAGAGAGATGTGTGGTGACGAAGAGTGTGTATTGAGAATGTCCTCAAGCTTTGAAGCGAACACATTAGCAATATTGCAACCACCAGCTACTCCATCAACAACAGGGGCGAATGAAGACGAAGATTTATTTAGTTTTCTTACATCAGACCAAAACGAGGACTATTTATTCTTAGCAAAAGAGTAAGCAAGCTTCTTTTGGAGCAAAGAAATTTGCCTGCGTATAAGACTTATGCTTTCAGAGTCGTGGCAGCTGGCATGCAGCAGTATCTACACGAGCAATCCTAGCTTATTTCCAAGTTGCACCTTCGAACCATGCATGGAGATTAGGAAGAGGTATATACAGCCTCGGTCAGTCACCGAAGGTTGCATCGCATGCCGTCGAATGGAGGAGAGTTCTCTGACTGGCTAGATCGATCGGCGCATATCGCGAGGCAGCGTGTGTGAAAATAATAAAAACTTTGGAAATCATTTAGGAAGCGCGTAAGAAGCCGCGCATGCGCACTTACACGACGTACGGACGGACGTTGGAAACTCTTTGGGCGAGCGGAGCGAGCCTATGTTTATCTATACAGCCATCATTACTAGCGATAATTGGCGAGCGGGAGCGAGCCAACCTAGTCGTTCGTTCGAGCGGATTTTTCTATATATTTATATACGTCCGTCCGTCCCCCCGTCCGTCAACGTCGTACGTCGTGGAAGTGCGCATGCGCGGCTTTGTACGCGCTTCTTTTTATCCGAAACTATTTCCAAATTTTTACACATTTTCACACACAGGCTAGCGTTGTCGAGCAGCCTGATATCGATCGCTGCCTAGCCTACTTCCATGCCAGCTGCCTGGTGGACCACGACAGACGAGCTGAAAGCGTAAGGTAAGGACCGTTCTGCTCACCTGCTCACCGTTCTGGCAATATACAGTACGCATGTAACGGCGACAGGTACCTCTGTCTTGCTTCACGAAAGGAAAGCTGTGCGCTGACGGCACGTTATGCAGCCCGAACATCGCGGACAAATCCAAGTTGGGTCGCTCCCGCTCGCCAACATGGTTGAAAATTTTTCTAGTAGCTAGCTATAGCTATGTACCTACAGGTAAAGTGAAAGTTTTATGGTGTTCCTTGTCATATTATGGTGCAATTAAACTACCAGAAGAGAGTAGCAACGGAACGGTAATGTGTAGTCCGTGTAGTGAAAGTCTGTGTAGTAAAAAGTAGCAACGGAACGGTGATATGTATTCCGACGTTGTCTTGCCCGCTCTTCATCGTCGCTGAAAAGACGAGCCTCTCTGTCGTGAGTACTTTCAACGGCGCGATTGGCCGAACCCCCCTTGTAGAGGCTTCTGGATCCGCCACTGGTTCGTACCACTAGGTTAGCTCGCTCCAGATGCAGACTGATTGCTTCTGCCTACCGCGACTTGGGTGCAGCGCAGCACCTCGTTCCCAGCCATTCAAATGGAGTTTACACGCCATAAAGTTGCAACGTAGGGCGTGTATCGCTTATCGCATGCTATCTAGTAGTGTAGCTAGCCCGTGTCAGACTCTACGCGAGCTGGTACGAAACCGCGCAGGTAAACCAAGCCCATCAATTAGTGCTGCCGCGCATGCGTTTACCTGCGCGAGTGCGTAGTGCGCCGAGGGTTTGCAGTTCATTTTGTGTATGATAACTATGGACACTGCATTAATTTTATTGATCAACTATCGTTTGGCTTAGCCAATTTGTGATGACGGAATTGAATAGTAAGAACACCGGACTAGCTACCACACAATTCTTGTTTTTTCATAGCAGATTTGTGCAGTAGCTACATTATGAATGGGCTGATAATTTTCTTCACATTTGCTGCCTCACCCTTGTAGCTATATCTAACAGTGTGCCTGCTGCACACACAAGTTCTTACTAAATCGATACCCACTACTTCATTTCTGCACTTCATTTGCTAGGTGCACTTTCATTACTATAAGTTCATACCAAAAGTGCAGCTTTCTAAATCCACAAGATCATACACAACTCTGTCTGTTTCTCTAATTATTCAATCATGTCCACACATGCGCACTGTTAATATGCAATTCACCAGTTAGCTATTATAACCAATTAAAAAAACTTCGAATCATGAGAGAACTCCTTACGTGTAGTAGCTACAATCATGACCAATTCAACAACTATTCCTGTTGGTGTGATAGCTACCTCTAACTTCTCGGAGATTCTTGGAGCTGGAGGGACTCTGGGATATCTATATAGTATAGCTTCTTCTCCTTGCTTCATCATGCATTAGCAGCCGCTAGACCTTCTGTGTTCTGCCTAGGTAGACCAACTAGCTACACATCAGAAGCTACACTTCTAGTGCTTTCACTTTGTCATGCAGTTATATACAATTTTCTATTATGGTCAACCTTTTAACGAGTGTTGTCAAGAGCTGTTAGTTAAAAATAGTGGAAACAAGTGGAAACTCAAAATTAAAGGGGATATAGAAAAAAGAAATTAAAGGGGTCACTACACAGCAAAGACACACGATACCAACCCCTCTATCTTTGTTCCATTCATTCATGATCGTTGACAATTATTATCAGACAAAATTGTAGGGATGGTGTCATGTAGTTTTATGCATCTTAGCTGTGTATGACCCCTTATTTCTTTCTTTTTGGTGTTTCAAGCCATCCTTATATCCCCTCATTTTCCCACTTGAATTTTAGTAGCGCGAACGGCTCTGGAATGAGCGAACCGAGTTATGTATAGCTATTATATGTGCATAACGTGAGATTTGCTGTGCCATCCCTAGCGGAACGTCTACAAACATGTTTAGTTCCTAATGTATATACCCAGCAAAGGGATTTGGTGTCGTGCTCACAATTTAACCATTGCATATTGCTCCCTTTTTCTTTTTGGGTACATCCCCTATAACTTCTTGTTCATAAACATCATGTGTACTAAGATGCAGACTACCACAAGCGAGCTTGAGGAATGAGGAAGTAATTTTTAATATTACAAGCAATTATACAATTGTTTAGCACAGTGGTTTGAGGCTTTGCGTATTGTGTTAAAGATTTAAACCCCTCCAAGCTGAGTGCTCTGGTAGCTAGCTCAGTTGGTAGAGTGCTTACCAGGACTGCAGGGGTGATGGGTTTGAATCCCAACCAGATCATCCCCTTGGAGAGCTGTCCTTGACTTGTTTGCTATACCATTGCCATCAACCTCATACCGTAGTTTTGGAAATCTTCGGCCTGGAAAAATATTCGCACAGCGACTATTGTTCGAAAATTTAACGTGTGAAGTTTACCCATGGCGAATAATTAAAGAGCGAATAGCTATCTTGGGGTAGATCTCCTGAGTACCTGCGCCCTCCAGTCACCGTACACGATATAACACCTCCACGCCTTAAAAACAGCGAACAGACTCTCGATAGCTTTCGCGGCAAATGACCAATGACCACCCCACTCTTTTTCACGGCTACTGCGTAGCGATCACACGAGTTTTGCGGTTCTCGGTCACACTCCAACTCCTTTCCTATAGCTGCCAGCCATATCTCTTTTGTATACGTGGTAGCCGCGAATACAACAGTCCCTTCCGGACTCCTCCATGCTTGCACGTTCACACGCTTCGAATTATAACGTACCAAAAAAGTTGAAGCATCAAAATTTGAGAGATTTTTGAGACATTTTCGTACAAATGGAGTTGTACGAAAATTTTCCCATACGAAAGTTTAACAAAATATTATGGAAATGATTAAACACGGAAATTTCCCAAACTACGGTAGTTGACACGTGTACACATTTCATTGCACTATAATTATATGCAATGGCAATACATGTATTAGTAGTAAACACTATGATGGAACGTGTACCCATAATAATTATTGTTATAAGGATTAAGACATTGTGCTCAAGTGATTGAATAAGTTGTGTTTAAATGATAATAGAGATAAAAATTCCATAGGTTAGAGGTATGTGGAAAGAATGAAGAAAGAAAATTAGTTAGACTTTGCTTTCATCAAAACAAATGTAGAAGTACTTCTTCGGGGATAATTGAAAGTCCTCCTCTGTAGTGGAAAGTCTGGAAAGTGACATATGTTGTTCAAAATCTTGTATAGCAAACATAAGTTCAGAAAATCCCTCCTATATAGTTTGCAGGTTAGGTAGGGAACACGTAGAGAGATATTGCTTGTAAGGTAGGTGCCACTGCTTGAGACAGATTTTAAGTGCGAATTTCTGCACCCTTCCAGCTTAAGTATGTCTCTCTGTAGATGAGGGTTCCAGACCTGGGACGCATATTCAAGATGAGGACGGACCAGTCATTATTATTACATCTCCTCATGTGCTACTGCGAGGAGTGAAGAAAGGAAAGTGCTTGAGGCTAGTTATAATTATGTGTACTAAATTTAATCTCCAAAAGTGCTTCTATTAGGAATGTTGAGGAGTGAAGAAGTAATTTGAAGAAAAGTGCTTCATGGCCTTCCGGGGCTTGGGGCTACTTTGGTTGTTGTTCAAGTAGCTACTACTGTATTGGAAATTGCCTGGGCCTGAGTGCCACATGGGGTATTGCCCGAGGGTCGCAAGCTAGAGGGTTTACATTACAAATGTGTCAACGTAGCCCATGTTGTCATGGGGGAAAGCCTAGGTGACAATTAATTTGATGCCATTCACACAGTGACTAGCTGTCTGTTTCCCTGTAGTCTCTCTTGCATTTTGAGAGAGAAGCCCAGGCAGGTTAGCTATGATTATTGGTTAGTGTGTAGGAAAATATACCTGTTAGCTAAGCTAAAAGCACTTGCTGATAGCTGATCCTTAGAGTTTTCAGCGAATGCAACAACTTAGCCTAATGTATGGCAAGAAATTTTAGTAAGTATTCCTTTTATACAATGCCGATCACGGAAAGCAAGTAGAACCAATACATGAACATGACCCCATACAAATAATGTCCACTGTCCTGAAGGCCAACCTATAGGGATTTTGATGGCTTGTACCATCCTACTCACAAGTCAACTTTATCATAATTATAATGACTTTTCATGTCTCTGACGCATTCAAATTTCGCAATCACTTAGCCACAATGCAAACACCGCAAGTGCAGCTTTCTCATAGCTGGCACAAACTCTGTCCATTTCTCCCACTACAACAAAAACACAGTGTTTATCCCAACTTCAAATCACCAACTAACTCGGTCTATTTGTCCAACTACAAAATCATGCAGGAACTCTGCTTGGCATCAGCAGCAGGACGCCCATTCTCCTCAGTGGGTGGTTCAGACGAAATGAGTTTGACACAGACACTGTACGGCCGGATGAGCTTGTCATCTGGCTGCACCCAATATTCACCAACACCATTGTCCGCCGCATTGATCACCTTCAGGCCTTCGGTGGAGGTGCAGTTTTGAAATACTAGTTGGTATTCAGCTCCGTCGTGCATAAATGTCTGTGCATACATCGCAGCGACTTTCACGGATGGTGTAGAGTAGACGCCGTGACCATAGAGGAAGCGCTTCCCCTTGCTTAGGTCGTAACCATCCTGTGCGATTGAGCCGCTCGCACTGACACCTGTGCCATGATACGACACGGGCCACTCTCCGGGGGATGAGTCCATTCGAATTCCCTGCTCACCGAGCCATACGTCATCCTTGTATTTGCCGCGCACCTTTAGAGCGAAATGCTCCCAGCCATATGGTCGGAAGTAACGCTTTCCACCACGAAAAAATCGAGTTCCATCGTCTTTACGTCTGTGAAATCAAAGTTGTACACAGATCCAGAAGCAAGTCATTGATGTACCACGTAGAAGCTTTACCTCCACGTAGTCGCAGTACTAGGTGCAGTGTATCTTCACGCTCAATGTTGTAATCTGAGAGGCGCCTTCCATCTTCCAATTGCTTTCCAGCAAAATGAGGCGCTGCTGGTCGGGAGGAATACCCTTTTTATCTTGAATCTTGTGCTTGATGTTTTCCACGGTGTCTTGGCCCGTTACCTTCTAAAGTGATAGTCTTCCCTGTCGGTGTTTTGATGAACATCTGGAAACCAGGAGCAGGTTCAACCGGACCAGAACCGGCAGTCTGTGCCTCGGTCGTAACAACCGGATCGCCGACTACGCCAGTGACGTTACTGTGCAGGAAAAGTTGGCTGATGTTGAGTTCTCCGAAGTCTTCGCTGCTCTTTTCCTTCTCCTTCTCGTACTGGTGGTACGTGACGACGGGACAGTCGAGGGTGGACGAGAAGGCCGAGGCCAGAAGCTGACTCACACCAACCTTAGCCGCTGCCAACAGCGTGTAGGGAGGGCCGACGCAGAAGCTACAGGTTAACAGGCTGATAGTTGATCAACGATGATACCGGCAGGGGGGCAGTCCCCGATGGATGCTCATCTCACGTGGGGGTCATTATCATGTACGCGCATGCGCATTGTCAAGTCGCCAGTTGTGGTAAAGAACTTCAATCGCGAGAGAGAACTCCTAGCTATATACCATACGTGTACAATGACGACCACTTCAACTATCCCTGTGGGCGGAATACTAGCCTCGGCCTTCTCGGAGATTCTGGGAGCTCCCGTCGTGACGTACGACGAGTATCAGCAACGAAAGGAAGAGTCGCCCCGTGCACAGTTTCAGTCGCTCGACATCTACCAGATCTTTCGTCTCAGCTATGATTGGGGTACCGCAGAAGGAGGAACGAGATCTCAAGGCTGAAGGAGGAAAAGTCAGCGGACTGAGTCATGAAGTCGAAAATCTGTCCCTGGACGAGATGTCGGTTTGCGTGAAGACACTCAACGGCTACACGCACATTGTCCGCGTTGGCGAACGCGACAGCGTGCGGCATCTGAAGGAGAACATCAAGGAAAGGTTGGGCATGCCGTGTGAAGAACAGCGACTGTCGTTCAGCGGGAATGTGATGGACGACGACTACAAAAGCATCTCGGACTACGGTGTCGGCCCAGACAGCAGTGTGCACATGATGGTTCAGTCCCGCAGCGGGATGTGCCCTACCACCTTCATTGATAACAGATCTTTCGACCCAGCCTTCGACTACGACTTTACCGATAAAGATGACGGAGGAAAATCGTTCTATCGGGGTGGAGAAAGGTACTACCGTCCGTGTGGGTGGATGAGACGTGCAATCAAGGTGAGGGGTCGTTTTGTTAACGATGAAGATGGAAGGGACGACAAGTGGTTGGGTGAACCAGGTTATCGAGAAATCTCAAGTGAAGGTGAATGGCCAGTTCCCTATCATGGGACTCCAAAGGAAAATTCTGACAGTATCACCACGAGTGGATACCTCTTGTCAAAGTCACAGAGGTTTAAGTATGGCCGTGGAACTACTCTGCTCCATCTATCACCACTGCAGCCGGCTATGCCAAGTCCTTCCCCTTCAAGGGTTGCGACTACCAACTGGTGTTTCAGAACCGCGTGTGTCCTCGTGATCTGGAGAAGGTTTCTGCCCAGAAAACGCGTTGCGGAGAGTACTGGGTTACAAAGAACCAGGATAACATCCGACCCTATGGGATTTGCACCCGAAAAGCGTAAACTTGTGTAGAGTATGAATATTGGTAGAATGTTTATAGCTACTTTTCCTCTTGAGTGTTATGTCATCCACATACTTAGCATTGATATTATTTTAGAGGGCAATGTCATAGACATCACTTTGTCCACCCCCGATTTTTTTATTAGGCACCATTTATTGTTTTTAAAAAATCATCGATACATCTAGTGGAGAGCCTAAGAGAAGCATCTTCATCATCTATAAAGAGCACTTTTCTGCTGAATGAGCTTTCTCCTAGTTACACTTTTATGCAACGCTTAGCATCTGATTGCAACGCTAAAACCACACATGCAGCAGGTCCACTGTTATAAAAATTTTCTCAAGAAAGAGTGTCAAGTAAACAATAATCAGTCTTCACAGAACTTTGTATTCATGTGTGAGCCCATGATTCCAAGAATGACAGCAGTGGCACTAGCTAAAAGTAATCGTGAATTCATGAAAAGCGTGAATTTTGTATACAGGATGCCCTAATCCAACCATCAAAAGTATGTATAGTGTGTTAGTGTAAATACACTAATAGACATAATATTATCCTCCCAAATGGTTGCAGCATTTGCATCTGTGATAATAATTTTCATTGTTATCCTCCCATATAAAGTAAAAATAGAAGTTTAACGTCTTACCACCCGTTGGTCTCTAAACCAGTTTCTAGCTACCCGGTTGATATTTGTGGGGTCAAAGGTTGAAAAGAACTCACGTGCCCCTAACAATAAGAAGAAAGGTTAAATTATTGTAGCTAGTTTCGTAGAAAGAAAGTAGACCTAGTTGCTGACCATGATTTGACTTGATTAGCTTGCTGCCTTCTCGAACGCAAGCACCGTGTCCGATATTTGGTATTATCGGACCTTTCGGATACCGTACTTTTAGCTGGTGTCACGTCCGGCACCTTGGTTTTTTATAGCTAGTATGGGGCGTAGCCAGGATTGAATCTTAGGAGAGGCAAATAATATTAGCATTATTCATCATTAATTGCGCGCATGCGCAATTACGTTGCGCAATGTCAGTGTTTGATCGCGGAAGGCCAGAGCAAAACGGCGATGCCCGAAGCGACCCCAGTCTTGTACGATACACTCTGAGGGAGATGGCTGCTCTTGGTTGGTGTAACCCAGTGGTAACTGCATTCTCTCGCGGCTGGCGCTCGTCGTTGGTTACGCTGCGAAAAGTTGTACGTAATAAATTATTCATAAGTCAGCAAAAACAGAGGAGGTAACTGCCTCCTCTGCCTCAATACTAGCTACGCCCCTGCTTCGGTATATGGCTACAAACAGATGTAACAAAAACTAATGCAACACTTTCCAATACGTCTCCACGGCCGTCCCTAATGTGAGGGTGGCGATAATTGATAGATTATCACCCGGCGGCACCTTTGTGCGTGCGGCCCACGGCGCTAAACACCCCCCCACGGTACGTTCTACGCGCAAGCGAAATGCTGTTTGCTAGGGGCGTTACTTCCCAGCGCGCCGACTTGAACTACCCGTTGCTATTTTACTGCATCCGCCCCTGACTCTCAACGACCTACTTAGCGGGAGACCACGAGTAATCGCATATAATTACAAGGTATAAATCTCTCATGCGGAGTGGGTTTGCTTTTCATTCCGTTCGGTTTCTTGGGAGGAAGAAAAACTCTGAAAAATAATGCGTTTTCCACTTCTATTCTTCGCTGCGGGATGCTCGCTTATTAGCAACGGTGAGTTGCGAGATGCCAGTTGTGGAATGTCGGCAATCGCGAGCCTCGGTTTTCAGACACCACAAAGTAGTAGCTAAATACCTATAAAATTGGGATCTTGTTTCAGCTCTCTCTCAGAGTGTGGATGACTGCACAGCCACGGTGCAGGTTGTTGGTACAACACTGGCTCCCAACCAGATAGATATTCCACTAGGAACTGTCTGTGTGGAGTGTGTTGTCAATGGAGAAGTAGACACTAGCACCACCACTTTCCTAATTGGAAATTCACCAGTCCCATCAAGCCAGGGAAGGCTGATGGGAGGAGTTCTGGTGGTCTATGATACTAGCATAACGTTCCAGGCATCCCCTGCCCTGACTTTGCGGTGTGTTCCTGGCTCAGGGGCTGCAAGACATGCTTCAGTTTTCTTGGACGGTATGTCTTCCACGTTTGTGTAAGTGTTACGTTCAAATGGTATTGTATTGTACAGTGTATCTACCTCCGATAATCATGGGAGCAACTACAGTCAATGAGGGAAGCACGCTGTTGCTCAGTTGTGACAGCATAAACTCCAACCGAGAACCATTTGCACAGTGGTTCGACAAAGATGGCCAGATGGTGTCTTCATCTGGAGTACTGAACATCCCCAACATCATGAGGTCTCAGGCTGGGAGCTATATCTGTCGAACATCTCCTCCAAACCCTGACAACTCTACCAGCACAATTGTGACAGTAGTCGTAAAATGTGAGTGCGTGTGTAGCTACACAGTTAGCCATGCACAAATCTAAAAACAATCATTGCTGTTATTAGTCCTACTTCGCTACTAGATCTGCCTGCCTGCCATTGCTTTCTCTGAGAACCAAGGTGTCTATATATACAACGAACAAATATTGACTACTACGCACTATGTATTGAACAACTTTTAGCTTGCACATGTTATTGGTGAATTTCTACTGAAAGATTTTTTCCTGTCCCCAAACTCTGGTTGTCAGTTCAGAAGTCACAAACAGTTAACTTGGAGATGTCACTTATCATTTAATTCGTGACTCTTCTAAAATGAAAATAGTTGTTGAGGATATGCGTGTTTATCGGATAGAAATGCGGAAAGCAGAGGTGTGAGCATCAGGCACCCTCAAGCCTGTTGCAGTTGTACTACTGCCATTAGGGATGAACTTAAAAATTGCACACCCTTATAGTGCTACGTTGTGTAGTGTGTATACCTATAAAATTGAGATCTTTCTTTCAGCTCTCTCTCAGAGTGTGGAGGACTGCACAGCCACAGTGCATATTGTTGGTACAACGCAGGCTCCCAACCAGATAGATATTCCACTAGGAACTGTCTGCGTGGAGTGTGTTGTCAATGGAGAAGTAGACACTAGCACAACCACTTTCCTAATTGGAAACTCACCAATCACAAGCCTGGATGGTGGAGTTCTTGTGGTGGATACTAGCATGACATTCCAGGCATCCCCTGACCCTGACTTTGCGGTGTGTTAGTGGCTCAGTGGCTGTAAGACAGGCTTCAGTTTTCTTGGATGGTATGTCTCCCATGTTTGGGCAAGTGCGCAGCGAGTGTTACTATACTTGGTCCGTAAGTTTTCTGTGTGTCTGTCTGTCTGTCTGTTACCACGTTTTCTGCAACCATGCGCAACGAGACAACGAAAGAACGATACCAAAAGGTTCAGCGCTATCGTGAACTATAGTATCCGCGTTATTTTTACCTCAAATGCGCATGCGCAATCGGTTGAAGCACGTGGGCGGAGTCTTTTCATATATACGACGCGTGTTCAGCTGTAGTATTATAGTGTGGAGGTTTTCTCGGTACATAACGTTGTCTCCGTTGTCTCTTTAGCTTTAAAATCAAGCACTGTCCGAACATAGTCCGAACATATTCCGACTGACGGCGGTTCGGACGTGGATCTTTTGTGCCGCCGTAGCCCCTCTGCCGAAGCTGGTACTGTGCATGCCTGTTGAGTGACACCCTCTGAGGTACTGAACGTAGCGAGGATAGCTAACTCTGTCTGGTCCGAGAGAAATGGCTGTGTCCGGGTGATGGCGTCCGATAATTGATGAGCTACTCTATGGCGTGAAAACAGAGTTAACAAGCCATATGCTAATTAGAATTCGCTTATATACCTCTAGGAAGCGAACGTATGCTTGTGTTGGTTGCGCACAATGATCACGTGTTTTTCGCCGTAAATAGCACCGTTGAGCAGCCAGGGTTTCATTTTTGTGAGGGCAGCGCTCGAGCAAACTTCTGGTTGTACAAATACTTGAGCTGGCAATCAGCACTCGTACATTCCGCGCGTTGTATGCAGAGTGGGCTGACCGATGGAGAGCGATAAACCCCTGAAGAAGGTATGTCCGCAGTGTGACACACAGTATATGCTAGACGGGCGGTTTGCGTATGTGGGCATACCTTTCCGTAGCGTAGTGTATTGCCAAAAAGGGAGCGATGAAACGTCGAAGAACTTTAGAGACTGAACAAGAGACATTTGCGAGAACAGAGCAAGGCAGGCTACGTAAACAGAGCACAAGGGCAGCTGAAACATACGATCAAATTTCAGCCCGGCGAAGAAGTGATATATATAGACTGCCAAAAGAAACCACAAGAGCCTCTGAAACAATTGAGCAGTCGTTGCACAGGCATGAATATGACAGACTGCATAAAGAAACCACAATAGCCTCGGAAATGAAAAGCAAAATCATCCTAGGCGGCGTGGAACCACGCATGTGGGTTGGGCTATCTGTCACATGCATTGTTCTACGCCACTGAGGGTTTTGCACTTTAATGCTTTTCATATTTCAATAGTATTGTATTGTACAGTGTATCTACCGCCAACAATTGAGGGAGCAACTGCAGTCAAAGAGGGAGGCACTCTCTTCCTCGTCTGTGACAGCACAAACTCCAACCGAGAACCGCTTGCGCAATGGTTCGACAAAGATGGCCTAGATGGTGTCTGCATCTGAAGTACTGAATATCCCCAACATCATGAGGTCTCAGGCTGGGACCTATATCTGTCGAACCTCTCCTCCAAACCCTGACAACTCTACCAGCACAACTGTGACAGTAGTCATACAATGTGAGTGCGTGTTGCTATACAGTTAGCTGTGCACAAAGCTAAAAAACAACCATTGCCATTAGTCCTACTTACCAGATCTGCCTGCCTGCCATTCCTCTCTTTGAGAACCAGGCATATGGCCAGGTCTCTACCACTATGTAGCTATTGAACAACTTTTAGCTTGCACATGTGATTGGTGAATTTCTACTGAAAGATTTCCTCCTGTCTCCAAACTCTGGTTGTCAGTTCATAAGTCACAAACAATTAACTTGGAGATGTCACTTCTTTGAAAGTTATGCATTCGTGACTCTTCTAAAATGAAAATAGTAGTTGAGGATATGCGTGTTTATCCGGATAGAAATAGGGAAAGCAGAGGTGTGGGCAACAGGCACCTCAAGCCTGTTACAGTTGTACTACTGCCATTAGGGATGAACTTAAAAATTGCACACCCTTAGTGCTACGTTGTGTAGTGTGTATACCTATTGTGTGTAAGTGGATGGTACAATTAAACCCCACAAAGTAGTAGCTATACCTATGAGATCTTTTTTTTAGCTCTCTCTCAGAGTGTGGATGACTGCACAGCCACGGTGCAGATTGTTGGTACAACGCAGACTCCCAACCAGATAGATATTCCACTAGGAACTGTCTGTGTGGAGTGTGTTGTCAATGGAGAAGTAGACACGAGCACCACCACTTTCCTAATTGGAAACTCACCAACAACAAGCATGGATGGAGTTCTGGTGGTCTATGATAGTAGCATAATGTTCCAGGCATCCCCTGCCCTGACTTTGTGGTGTGTTAGTGGCTCAGGGGCTGTAAGAGAGGCTTCAGTTTACTTGGACGGTATGTCTCCCATGTTTGTGCAAGTGCTATGTTCAAATGGTATTGTATTGTACAGTGTATCTACCTCCGATAATCATGGGAGCAACTACAGTCAATGAGGGAAGCAGGCTGTTCCTCGTATGTGACAGCACAAACTCCAACCGAGAACCGCTTGCGCAATGGTTTGACAAAGATGGCCAGATGGTATCTGCGTCTGAAGTATTGAATATCCCCAACATCATGAGGTATCAGGCTGGGACCTATATCTGTCGAACATCTCCTCCAAACCCTGACAACTCCACCAGGACAATTGCGACGGTAGTCGTACAATGTGAGTGCGTGTGTAGCTTAGCTAGCTATGCACAAAGCTAAAACAATCATTGCCATTCATCCTACTTACTAGATCTGCCTACTGCCTGTACAACAAGCACTAGAACTGACACTATAGCAATTGGAGTTGCTGTGGCTATCAGCACAATCATCTCTGCACTGGTGTCCCTACCAGTGGGTGTGGTCATTGGTTCCTGTGCTACATTTTTCGCAATGCTTAGAAGAGGAGAAAGAGGAGAGAGGAAGAAGAAAAAGAAAGAGGGGTTAGGACAAGCTATCTATGAGGAGCCAGTTCAGTCAGTGGAGACTGCCATTCCTATCTCTGAGAACCAGGCATATGGCCAGGTCTCCTCTCAGAGGTAGTAGAGGAAGGTGGTGAACTATTATTAACAGTTTTATAGTTATGTAGTTTCATTCAATGTACATTGTACAGTAAACTGTCATGTCAATTTGCTACTCTTCAATTCAATTTACTGAACCAATGGGCAGTGATATTACAGTGAAACCTCCGTAGAAGGGACAGTATGGGGACGACCCTTTTGGGAGGTTGTCCTCTTTCGGAGGTTCTCACTTTTACACGTTATTATTGCTAAATATGAAGCATTGCTGCAGTTCTAATCCACAAACAACATAAGATCACAACAAACATGTTTAAAAAAGGTAGTTACACAGTTTCAGCAAGCCATGAACCTAGCAGCACAAGGACAATAGGATACAGTAACACATACACCACAGAGTATAATCTGTCTGACCAATATTCGGACGCTTATTTTACACGAACGGTAAGAGGTAGAGAGATAAACTCTGTTTTAGATGGCAGCTGTGCTTCGTCTGCACTTACGCTTCAAAAATGCATTGACGCGTTTAGAAGTTATAGTCAAATATATCGAGGTGGTCGAAAAATGCATTTTTCGGACAAACCGATTAATTTTCGGACTTTGCTCCAACACAAACTTAGAAGCGACCGCACCGATTGAAAACTACATATACACAATGTCCTATATATGCTAGTTCTAACTAACTTCATAATCTGCGGCTTGAGTATCGTTCCTTCGCTAACGCTGTTGGTGCGGTAAAGGAAGAGCTAACGCCATCAGACATCACGGCCGCCGCCGCACTGCTGTGTAATTATAATTAATATTAGAAAAACGCGTGGTAGCTAAACGAACTCCAGGAATTTACAGAATATATAGGCGAGGGAGCGTGGAGTCCATACGAAAAGCATAACTTTTGCGTAATCTTCACGCATGCGGATTATCGACATTGCTGACCTCGCAATTCGGACTAAAAATTACACAGTTCAACTATTTATTCACAAGTTAACAACTTCACAAACATCACACAGCCATCTTTCAGGAAGCTTATTCTTTTTGAGGTTCACACAGGACATGTGTTACCAGTCTTCACATCCATCAATCCATCACAGCACACCATATTCTCATCATAGTATAGTCATCCGGCATCCGGCATTTGCAGTATATTGTAATATTGCGAACTATAGGAGAGGGTCTTGGTAATGATTCCGAGGTACTTCTTGGAAGAACTCCTTGTGACAAGCATTCGTACAGATGGGGTCTCATTTTCGTCTGATCAAATACAGAATATTGCGGATTCCTTCCGAGGCAAACCTCTCTATACAGCATACGCAACCGAAAATACCCCACAGTCTTTTCGACCCTTCTGCTGCTGCACTGACACACCATTTATTTCCAAGGTTGAATTACAATCTGGAACCCAATGAATCTTGGAGATTTGTAGAATTGTGGAATTGTTGAGACTGAGAATGAGGGATATAGCTACTGTCCATCACCATGACGGCCGAAGACCCTCTTGACCAACACGTACACACCCAGTGTTCAGTTTCTCCTAAAAGAGAGTACATTATGTGAAATGCCACAACTTGATTGCAATTTTTAATTGGGGTGGGCAGCAATACATCTCGCTCATAATGGCTTCTCTTAATCCTGAAACATTTATAACAAAAAATGGCACTTTTCCAAATAAAGAACGCCATGCAGGACTCACGTTTCTTTTAAATTGCGTTCTCAGATACTTCTGTGTCGTGACTGGACTCTCGGTGCTCGGGTGACATGTCCCCAGTTCCCCTCCGCGTGTTGTGGCTACGTCCAGTAATAGGCTTAAATTCTGGAAAGCCTTAACACATGAGCACAATACACAATGGTACAAGAACAATATTATTGCTGTTACATAGCTACTACAATTACATGTTTTGCTCTTGTCCATAAGTTTTTCAATCTTCCTTTTCTCTCTGATTCTTTTTCTCTCTTCTTTTATCAATGCTGCCGCTTGTTTCTCTCTGACGTTCTTGTAATAATAAAACTATATTCTCAAGACTTGTCAAAACTTTACCAGCTGATTTTCCTCGTTTTGTAGGAAGACTCTTTGGTGGATCAGGAATTGGCTGATGGTCGTAGCACAGGGCAGAGGATGTGGAGCAAATATAGACTCGTCCAATAAGCTAGGTTCTGATCTCGAGCGTGTAAGAGGGGAAGCCAAGGAAACTGGACTTGAAAAAGAGGGTGGTATGCATCTCTTCCTTTCAGGTGTAGAGTGAATCGGTATGCTGTGCCTATTTAGCCCCAGCCGAGATATTGAAGGGACTCATGTATGGTGAGTAGGACGAGCTCTACTATACAAAGGTATGTATATATGCCAGGTGGGTTTTCTCAGGAATGTTGGATGGCTTAAATGCAGAAAAACTCTGGTCATCTTCAGGTAAACAGATAGCGTTTCTGTTGAATGGACAGATACCAAAGCTACTGATAACGTTTAGCCTGCTGAATACCCTGAACCACGCTTTTGCGAAAAGCTCCCAATCAAAACGGGACACGGTTCTTCCTGGATTACGTCCACAGAACTTGTGGCATATATCCCTCCACGCTACTTTTAGAGGTGCAATAAACCCTCTATCTAAAGGCTTGGTTATGTGCGGAATGTGTGGTGGTAAAGCACATAGTACTATACGCTGCTTAGCAGCCATAGCAATTGTCTCGGACAATAGTGGGCTGAATGCCCATCCAGCATGGGAATTATTGGTCTGGCACTGGGAATTGAGAGAACGAAATGAATGAACTACTGTCAAAATATTTCACTGGTTATCCACCCATTATGAGACAGACCATAGACTGTGCCAGGTACTTCCCCCTTTGTCATAGCTTCATGTAGGAACAATCGATTATTAGTGGTCGCTATTGCATACCCAGCAGCACATGTGCATGCCATGACTGTAATCTGTGACTTGCAACCACTGCTTAAAAACTGGGGTTCTTAGAGCCAACCTTGTCAACCACTTTGAGACTCTTTGGGTTTAGTGGTACCCCAGTTTCGTCACAATTGAAAATGCGTGCTGGTTGTCCAGTATTCCATTGGATCGTAAGCAGTGTTGAAGCATATTGAAGTACCGATCCAGTATATATCTCGGTCAGCAGCCATTGCTCGTGCCATTGACAGTGGAACAGCCACACGTAACGCTATCTGAGCGGGGTATGTGTTATAACTGTGATATCTTTTAATTTTACTATTCTCCTCTCATTATGCTATACTACGACATACTTGTTGGCACCCCCTGATTAAATATCATGGAGTTAGGTATTTTCGGTTAATCATACCCTGGTTCGCTCCTACATACTAAGTGCAGGGTTCCTATGTTGTTTTGTAAATGTAGTTTAACGTATTTAAGTGTAGTTAACGGCAGGAGTTGGACTTCGGTGTGCATGTGTACTTAGGCCCCCTTTGCTGACTTCAGTGAATGCGACTAGTTATGTAATGACTTCCCCTGACTAATGAGCTGCTCTTGTAGCTCACTGGTAGAGCACTCCGTTAACAGAACAAAATGTAATGGGTTAAGTCCCACCTCTATATACCCTGCACGCATACGCACAGCAGGGGTATATA